AAAAGCCGGACATGTCCGGGAAAATCCGGACATATGGTAACCCTACCCATTGAGAGATGGCAAGGGATACACCTTATTACTCAGCAAGGCATGCCGGGGCATGCCTATGGACAGAACTGTAAGGCTTCCAAGCTATGTGCTGGGCAGCTTGTGTTTGAAACAAAGCAAGCACAAGCTGCATGGCAAAAGACTATAAAAGGCAGCTGCATCTTCTCCATTTTGTCTTCAATCCTGCTTCTTACCTCTGGAGGAACTTTGCTACAAACTGAAGCTCTGAACAAAGGACTGAATGACCCATCCAAACTGTGGATGTGTTCCAGAGAGACTTTCAAGCCAGTACTCACCAGTACTGCTAGGAACCTCATGGACTTTGAAGTGTTGTTTATGTGACTGCTTTACCATTTAACATCTCTCTTCTTATTCTTTTTTCTTTATAATAAATCTTTAGTTTTAGATACTAAAGGATTGGCTGGCAGCGTGGTATTTTGGGTAAGATCCAAACCTATATTGACCTGGTAACGTGGCTGACCCTTTGGGGTCAGAAGAACATTTTGCATATGTGAGCAGTTTTTTAAATAACTTCTCACTGTACTGGACCTAGGTGCTGACTGGGAGCCAGAGAACTGGAATGCAATAAAGGGGGCTGTGTGATTTCTTTTTTGCTTACTGATAACCAGTGGGGGGGGAACAGAAGCAAAGTTTGTGACTGGGTAGGGAGTTTAACTTCAGTGTTACCCACCAGTCTTGGGAGTATCTACTCTCCCTTTTGCAGCCTGCCCTGACCTTGGCATTTCCAGTGAGAGCTACCCAGGCAACAACCTGCATTTATACTGGAGTAATAGAGCTGAATTTGCATCACCGATTTCACATATAGCTAGAGAAGGTTTCACACAGGTAATTGGGTTTTAGCATATACATTTCTGATTCTGTGGTTCACATAGGCTCTCAGGTCCAGATCCTCAAAGGTATTTGGGGGTCTCACTCCCATGGAAATCAATGGGAATTAGGCTCCTAAATACCTTTGAGCATCTGGGCCTTGGATACTACAGTGATGAATGGTGGTAGGAGACCTGAATATAGGTGGACTTGTTGATGGGCTGGTTTGAAGACTCTACTTAAACTCTCACCATTAGAGACTTAACTGTGGATTCTGCGCCTGATACTGGATGGGCTTGTTTTACAAAGTGAATGAGGCCAGAGTCATTGGTCCTATTGGCGCCATGAGCACATGGTTTTAGCAGCAGGAAGCTGCTCCCTTCCCAGGAACACAGATGGTTCATCACCCCACCTCCATACCTGGAGAGAGGGGATGGGAAGGGCTGGTACACCCACTGACTGCAGCCACCACAGGATGTTTACTGTGTGGGATTTATCCTCTTACTTCCTGCTGCATGCAGGGAAGATGAAAGGCCCACACTCCATGGGCAATGTTCCTCCCATATCCCTGCTGTGGCAAGGGCAATTAAAGCCCAACCCTTTCTGCAGCATAGAGATACAGGCCCTACTTCCTCATCCCACCCTACCAGCTCAGTGGCAGTATTGTCAATATCCCATATTTAAAAAATCAAGCCAAGCCCTCAAAAACAGAAGATTGGCATAAAAAGCATACAATTTAAAAAACAATAAATGGGGTGTTCCTTTTATGTGTCTTCTGGTTTCTGACCCTTTGGGTCACCAGGGCGTAACATGTCCAAGCTTTTCTTTGCAATGAGGGCCAGAAGCTATTTTTCTTTTAAATGATAGCTGAGATTCTCCCCTAATCACAGGACTCCAAGCTTAAAATTAATCAAATATCACGTGACTCATGATAAAAAAATCGCATCAGCTGGTGACAAACATGTCCCACGGGCCCCTCCTCACAGCATCCCCTGGGGCTCCTTCCCCACCCCTAGGACCTGGGACTGCCCTGGACGGGCCCCTCACTGCAGCATCACCCCCAGGGGCCCCTCACTGCAGCGACCTCCTCCAACAGGCCCCTCTTCGCGGCAGCCCCTCCCCCACCGGTTCCTCACTGCGTCGACCCCGGGGCTTCCCTGGGGAGGAGCGAGCGTGTCCCCGCTCAGCGCCCCCCCCCGGGACGCGGCTCTGACTGGGCCCGGCCGGGACGCTTCTGCGGCGCGGGAGAAGGCGGGTTGTGTGAAGGCGCCTCTACCCCCGCAGCCGTTGGGGGCACCCGCCCCAGGCAGCGCCTCCAGAGGAAGAGTGGGGGCGGGGCGCCTGACCCTCAAGAGGCTGCTTCCCGCCCCGGAAGTGAATGGGAGAACCGGCCCTCAGCACCAGGGGACCTTTACCCCGGAAGGTTTTCCTGGCAGCTGAGCTCCCTCACCGTTTCTCTGCCTCAGCAGCGCCCCCTCTCGCCCCGGAGGCGGCGTGACTAACCGGCCGGCTCCCACCGCCCAAAAAGCCGCGGCGGGCAACGCTAACCGGCAACTTCGAACGTTCCTTATGTGCAGCAACGGCCCATCTCGCGCGCAGACCCCGGAGCCCCGCAGGGCGTGGGCTTATCTCATAGGATATCCCGGCGGCCAGCGCGCGCATGCGCAGCTTGTACGCTTACCTCATATCAGCCACGCTTGGAAGACTTCCCCTCTCTCAACATGGAGCTCCACGGGAGGTGTTTCCGGCCGCTCTAGCCTTCCCCGGAGCTCCAGGGTGAGAGGGAAAGTCTGCAACAGAGCGCCACCCTAGTGCGCGTGCGTCCCGCTTGCCGGGGCGTCTTCTCGAGGGCGAGACAGAAATGATGCGCATGCGCGCTGGGCATTCGCGCTTGCCTGTTAGTCCTTCCAGTAGGGGCTGAGTGCGCCTGCGCTCTGGGGGTTCCATTCTTACCCAGCTCCAGCAGCAGCATTGGGGTGGAGGAGGAGAGGAGCAGCAGCCATGCACTGCAGTAGGAGCAGCGGGAATTAAGCGGGATCTGCTGCTCCCATTCTACTGCATGCACCCTCCGTAACGTACATGAGTCCAGTTTTCCTTGCACCCCCCATCTGCTCTTCCAGCAGCTCCAGGTAAAACCCCAGGGTCATGTAGCATGGGGTCGATATGCGGGGGGGAGGGGGCTGCAATCAGCCCTTGGCTTGTTGGGGTGGAGGGGGAGGGGAAGCATTGTTTGATGAAATCAATAGGTTACAGAGCTGCCTCTGCTCTGTGCACAGTTGGGAGCCTGACTGGGGCTCATGGTTAGGGGAAGTACATGGGCTTTCCAGCAGGGTTTGTTCCTGGCAGTTTCGCCCAGCTTATCAGTGCTTGAAAGTGTTTTTTCTAAACATAAGGATTTTGTATTCTGTTGCACACACATGACAGAAAAGACTTGGAAGGCACTAGCACGGTGGTAGCCCACCGTAGGAAAAGCTGTGGGACTGTGATTTCCAGAGGGAATTCACTTCCCTTGTTCCAGACATTTTTAAAAATGGACAAAGCAGTATAGAAAACAGTGTAAGGATGAATTCTGTACTGGCTGGGAGGGGTGAACTGGATGACCTAATAGGGCTTTTTCCTCTGATTTGGGGATGGGTTTTAGAAATCTAAACCGCGGGGGCTGGGGAGGATAGACTCAAGGCTTTTGTTTCATCCTTAACTCTCCCTGCTGTGCTTAGATCTGAGATTAGTGCATAGCTGTATGTACTGCAATACTTAGGCACAATGGGCGATTTTACTATTAGTTCTTTACCCCTTAATCTACATTCTAACAATGTTTAGTTAGATCCTTTATTGTATGTTCTTTATTTAAAAAATCTGGCTATGTAATCTGAATAATTGACGTAACAGCCTTTAATGATTCTTAGCGTGTACTACTAGATGTTCTTAATCTGTGGATTATCATGGTAAAGCACTTGCTCTGAATTGTGTCAGTGGGATCAAGGTTCTGATCCATGAATAACCGTGTCCCCACACAATGTATGGTCAATAAGGGTTCTGTCATACTTTAGTGCATATTTATTAGTTGATACTGAGATTTGAGTAATTTGACAGTTTTAATGATGTACTAGTGACAGTGCCTAAAGGCAGGAGGCTAGAAGATTAAATAATTTAATTCAAAGCTGTTTAGAAAGTGTGGTGAAAACACAAATTATTTTGCTCATCTGCAGTTTAAAAGCATGTATTGATTTGAACAGATTAGTTAGTTTTTGGGGTGTGATACCAGTCAGCTCTGTGTTCTTGGGGAGCCAGGGTGCAGTATCCAGCCTGACCCATGAAAGACCCCCCCCCCCCCCCCCCCGCCTCTGCTTAAGCCAAAACCCATCAGAGGAAAAAACTTGCACAGAGCAGTGAAGGGCGTTGGGAGACACACCTAGACCCCTCCTGACAAAGGTGACAAGATTAAGACATCTCCATTAGCATACAGAATGAAGAACAGAGATAACTCACCTAGCCTCATCTGCATGAAAGATGGGACAGGGAGACATCTCAATTTGCATGCAGAATGGAGAACAGAGAACCGCAATGAACTCTGGGACCAGAAAAGCAGGGATGCACTGCATCATGGGAATCTCTGCTCCAGATGTTAATGAACCTATGCCTGCCCACACCCAGCTCAGCAATTATCAGACCAATTCTCCTAAGGATCCTTGATTGTTATCCAAAATACTGAAGCAGCCTAGTTGCATTGTGAACTCCCTGGAAGAAAACACCACCCATAGCCATGAACCAAGCTCCTATTGTCTAGCCCAGGGGTCGGCAACGTTCAGCACACGGCTCGCCATTGGGGGCGGTGTGAAGCCGCGGCCAGCACATCGCTCGCCCGCGCCGCTTCTCGCCGCCCACATTGGCCCGGGACGGCGAACCGCGGCCAGTGGGGGCCGCGATCGGCCGAACCTGCCGCGTCAGCAGGTAAATAAAACTGGCCCGGCCCGCCAGGGTGCTTACCCTGGCGAGCCGCGTGCCGAACGTTGCCGACCCCTGGTCTAGCCTAAAGAAAACCCTTGAGTCATCAGTTTACCTATAAACAAATCTAATGTTCTCCCTTGAACCATTGTATTTTCTCTACAAAAATCCCTACTCACCCTCCAGTAAGTGTTCTGATGCTTAGCTCCAAACTATGCATCAGTTCCACTGGGACTCCATCTTCTCCTGACCGATTGTGCTGGGGGCTCTGCCTGTCTCCAGCACTCGGGACCCTGAGCTACCACCATCACCTGGGAACCCCAACCAGTTCAAGCCTCATGGAGCGGGTGAGATCCTCCTCTTTCTCTCTCTGTTTTCCTTTCTACCTTAGGTATTAACCTTTAATAATGTATGTTATGTTGGTTTAGCCCTCCTTGTGTAGTTATCACTATTATTCAATAAATAACTTTTATGGTTAGTTGGTTGCTTCTCTTGCTCTTGCAGAACTTTACTCTTTTGTGTTTTTAGCTTCCCCCATTCACTCTACAGCAACACTTCTTTTACCTAAGCTAAAGATCCCTGCAGCACCCAAAACACTGTGGGGTTTGCTCATCAAGTAGGTTACTGCCAGTACAATTGTGATGCGAGAGTGGGGACAGGGACGCGCTGAATCTGGGACGCATAAGGGTAACAGCTTGAAAGTGCTGCTTGACCCAGTCCATGGAGCCCGGGGCATATAAGGAGAGGTAGGCTGAAAGTGCTGCTTCATCCAGCCCAGTGAGTCCAGAGACATATAAGGGGTCAGCTTGATAGTGCTGATTGACCCAGTCCGCTCAGACTTGCTCTGTTAATGTGGGTGTGGGTGTGTTCATCCGGTTCTGGGGCTGGAGAAACCCAGCCCTAGGGAACCTAGGTCCTGCAGGTCTCGAAGAGTAACCCGAATAAATGAGCATACCCCAAAGTAATGGGCAAATCTGGTACCAGGTGTTAGCATGTGTAACCAGCTTTGCCTTACAGAAAGATAGAGATGCTAAATAAACCTTTTTGTGTTGCTCCTCAGGATCTGCTCTGCCCTCAGATACATATATGCCACTTCAATAGGAAGGGAGTCTCCTTACCCCTTCCTTAAAGAACATGTCTAAAAAGCGGTATTAGTGGACATTCTGGATGGACACACTGCAGTAGGTTAGAGGCTGTGCAGAAAGAGCTATCCTGTAAGGTATATAAGAATTAGGACCGTTTAGATTGGGTGGTTCACAGTCGTCACTGCTAGTTTGATTGTGAAGCAGAACTTGGCAAAGCCTTGTTATAAAAATCTGAAGTAGGAAAAGATTTGCTTGCAAGAGCCTACCTGCACACCGTATCTTATTAAAAAGTGCAAGGCTTTAAGAGGATCCTGTTTTTGTTTGTTTGTTTTGCTTTGAAAAGCACTTTTTTGAACAAACATTCTGATTTGGACATTTCATTACAGCTTAGTCTGGCTTCAGTTTTTACATTGGATCTGTCGTTGTCACTCAGGCTGTGTCTACACTATCACTTTTGTCGGTTAAACTTATGTTGGGTGTGAAAAAAACACTCCCTTCACCGACAGAAGTGCTGGTATGGATAGCGCTATATTGCCTACTGCCGCTCGTTGGGGGATGGTTTAATTATGCCAGCAGAAGAGCTCTCTCCCACCAGCAAAGAGTGGTACCTGGGAGACCTTATAGCGGCACAGCAGTAGCGCTACAGCTGTCCTGCTGTAGGGTTTGTAGTGTAGACATAGCCTCAGTGCCCAGTCCAGCTTCCACTGATGCCTTTTAATGGGAATTTAGATCAGGCCCTGGGTGAGAGTGTTACTATCCTCTCAAATGGACTTGCACAGGAAAATGATAAAAGACAAAAACACCCTATCACCTATTGGAGGTCCAATACAATATATTCCCTACCCCATCTTGTCTGTCAACACAGGGAGATAGGCTTGTTGCTGGACCAGATCGTGTAAGCACTTGAGTGGTATGCTAAGGCCCAAGTTGTGGAAAAAAGACACAAAATAAGAGAGAAGGGGAAACTGCTGTAGGAGGGTCTAAAGGAAGCGTGGTCATAGTTATTTAGTCTACGTGTCTAAGGCCTTGTCTACACTACATGGGAAATTCGATGTAAGCTATGCAATTTGAGTTACGTGAATAGCGTAACTCAAATTGACATAGCTTAGATCTACTTACTGCGGGGTCCACACTATGCGATGTCGATGGGAGACGCTTTCCCATCGACTCCCCCTATTTTTCTCGAGCTGGTGGAGTACAGGAGTTGACAGGAGAGCAATCTGCGGTCAATTTAGCTGGTCTTCGCTAGACCTGCTAAATTGACCGCCAATGCATCGATCCTCCGGTAAGTGTAGACAAGCCCTAAGATATTTATACAGCCCCATTATTGTGATGTCTGAGCTCTTCACGGTCTCTAATGTCTTTGTCCTTGCAACATCCCTCTGAGTTAAGGAAGGACAATTATCCCCATTTTACAGAGGAGGAACTGGGGGACAGAGAGGTGGAGCCAAATTCATGCAGGATGTCTGTGATGGCTCAGGAAACTGAACTTAGGTCTCCCAACTCCTAGGCTAGTGCCCTAAGCACTGGACCATACAAATCCCTCCCAAACCTCCGCTTCATGAGTTTCTGATAGTAAACGAAAGAGATCTCTACTTTGTTGCTTATGTAGGTTGAGCTGGCAGGTGATGGGAGGGGCAGGATGTAGTCTCTAGCCTCAAACTTGTAGCAGTTTTGCAGGATACAGCCACTAAAGCTACATTTTACTAAATTGTCTAAGCTGCTCATCTTATCTTATTTGTTGCCTATCAACTGCAGCTTCCCCCAATGGTGCCTGTTAGGTGCTTCAGGAACCTGAGTGGTAGCATTGTAGCATCAGAGGTAATGTAGCCAGTCATCACTCCATCCTTCCCTCCAGTAACCCTAACCTGAAACACTGAGCCTACTGCCTGACTCAGTTGTCTTCTCCCTGACGGTGCCAGTTTGGTGCTGCAGGCAGAGGAATCTCTCTTCCTGCTGTACCAAATGAGCACTGTTTAGATGACCTAGAACAGCTTTTGACTGGGCGAAGGTAAATGATTTTGCCTGAGCCAGGCATGACGTGGAGGGAGCCACAGTGAAATCTCCAGCCTTACCCTTACTCAGCTACTATAGAGCTT